GTACATTGCGAGTATTAATGGGTCCGTATTCTATTTTTAAATATGTTAGCAGGCTGCTTTTTCCAACTACCCCAAAAAGCATACTATTTCTTAAAGAAGATGCCCAAGGGTATTTCAAAAGGCAAATTTTGAACCTTAGGGTGGGATAATTTTTCTGTTAGCCTGTACCAAGTATAGTGGTAAGAAGCATTTTTTCTGCCTTTTTGACATACAGTGAGTTTGTACTGTATATTTTGCAAACCTTATGTGTGCTACGGCTTTCTAATACTTCCTATGTTGCTCAGCTATGTTGTCTGAGTACAGCAATACCCCCGTATGTACCTTTGCCAGGTATATGCGGACATTGATAGGGCACATTTGAGACACAGCCATTTAAGTTTTTTCAAACTTTTATTGGTCACACAGGCTTTTATGCAAATCCCCATGCAAGGGGACATCCCTCAGGGAGGGACAAACATTAACCAATCACATACTGTAAAACCATAACACACACCCACAGTTCCCTCCCTTAGCTCTGGAGATAATTAAGTCTGATAAAATAATAACCTAATTATCTCCAGGCAGAAAAATTACCTTTTACCCCAATAACTGGGAAACCCCTTTATACTTGTTGTACCCCCACAAATAACATGTCCCCTGATAGCCCTGATCTGGGTGACCAACATATTCGAATTTCACCCAGATCGGTTCAGGGGTTCGCGAAAACTATGGAGGTCTTCTGTAACCGGCTCACCCTGGGCTGTATGCCCAAAACAGTTCCATGAGTTTGGTGGGTTTTGACGATCACTTTAGAAATAGAAGAAAAGCGAACAAAGTACCGAATGGATCCCTCTAGCTCTTAGCAGCATTCGTTCCCCTCTGTCAAATGCACCAAAGTACCGAATAGCGCTCTTCTAGCTATTTGGTAAGTAGAGTCCACGTAGAGACACAAACACAAGACACACACACATACAAAGACACATACATACAGACACACAGACAGGCACACATACACACATACTTACAGACAGGCACACATACATACAGACACACACACACACAGACATGCACACATACATACAGACACATACATACAGACACACACATAAGACATAATACTAAGACACATACACACACACATACAGACAGACATACATAAGACACACATACATACAAAGACACATACACACAACACGTACATACAAAGACAAGACACACATACATACACACATATATGACAGACACACACACACAAGACATACATACAAAGACACACACATACATACATACAAAGACACATACATACAAAGACACATACACACAAGACATACATACAAAGACACACACACACATACACACAAACAAACACACAAAAAATATTTTAGTCACCCTCCTGTTTCCTACCTTTTAGGTGCAGGAGGGTGACATTCCTTGGGGTCCAGTGGTGGCTCAGGTGGATGGGAGTCAGAGTTCCCACTCTGACTCCCTCTGCTTCCTCCCGCGCAGTCTGTGTGTTAGCTGGGAGGAGTGACGTGCAGTCACTTCCTCCCAGCTCTGTGTGATGTAATCAAAGGTGGCCCGGTCGCGCTCTTAAAGCACCCAGCGCTGACCGGGCCCCCTGACAATCCATAACCATCGGGTGGCCCTGACAGCATGGGCCACCCGATGAACTCTTTGGACGGTGGTCTGCCGCGCGGGCCAGGGCCGCAAATGGTGATGGCGGGTACCCGGTCGCAGGGGTACCGCTGGCTCGCACCCACCCGTCCAATCTCTCAAAATGAGGAAAGCCATACTGCCCACCTGGAATCCTGAAACAGCCACTAGTGGTCGGTAGGTACCAGGTTAACGACCCATGCCCTATGGCACTTTTGAATTTTTTTAATAGGTTGTGTTTTCCAATTACTTCACAAAGGCATATCATTTCCTAAAGACACCCCAGGGTGTTTCAAAAGGCATATTTGAAACCTTACCGTGGTATCATTTTTTTTCGCTAGCCTGTACCAAGTGTAGAAGTAATATGCATTTTCCCCCTTTTTTAAACATTTTTTTTATATTAAAAATTTTTTTTTTAACTTTTAAAACGTTTTTATTTAGCTTTTAACAACTTATTTTACTATTTTAAAATGTTGTTTAAACTTTTCAAAAGTTTTTTTTAACTTTTTGTTTTTTTTAAAACTTTTAACCCCTAACTAGCCTAACAGTAAATCCCTCAATTTCCCCACTAACTCCTACCCACCCTAGCTAAATAAATAAATATTTTAAAATATTTAAATTAATTAATTAAATAAATTTAAGGTCTGAGGATTAAAAAAAATAAAAGTTAACCCTCAGGGGTTAAAAGAAAAAAATCAGATCACAGTGAAATTCTGTGATCTGTTCTTTGATCACTTCTGTGATCTGTACTTTGATCACTTTGATCACTTTGATCACATTTTATTTGTAAGAGGTGAGGGGAGGGTGGGATTTTATTGCTAACACTTTTTTTTCTTGCAGAGAGACAGATCAGCACCGATCTGTCTCTCTGCAGTTCACAGCTCACACGGAGCTGCAGGGAAATAGATTGGGTTTCACTGCAGCACGTGTGATCGCTCTAACTCCCGGTCAGAGCGATCACATGGGCTGAATCAGTGAAACTGCCCATGGTAGTGTGCCTCCGACATGGAGACACACTACAGGAAGATTAACCCCACGATTGCCGCGATTGTGGCAATCAGGGGTTAATTTTCATTTTGGATGGAAATTTTCTGTCCAGAGTCCTTAAGGGGAGTGCTGCAATGACGGAAAATTTCCATCCAGCGTCCTTAAGGGGTTAAGCATAATCCCCTTGTTGATTGGGCTAAAGGGAAAATACTGGAATGGGGTAAAGAATGTAAAGAGAGATGTATGTCACCTATTACTAAGAGAGTAGGTATTGTTAATCTACCTACTCCTACGCCTCAGTCTACCAAAATTCCTGTGCATTATAGGGAGGTTAAAGAAGTATTTAATAAAAGTCACACTGATACACTACCCCTTCACAGATCCTATGATTGCTCCATAGATCTGTTACCTGGCACAATACCCCCTAAAGGGGAAGTATATACCTTTTCACCACAGGAAAGTAGAGTTATGGAACAATACATTAAAGAGTTGTGGCGGCCACCCTGAGAGGATCAGGGGTTTCGCCACCTGAGCCGTTCTTTTCCCCCTGTTCAGAGTGATGCTTTCCGATTTCCCAGGATAGTATAGCTCTTACAAGAGCTGCTGATTATAGCAGGTATAGCTGGTCCCTACAATCATGAGATGAGACTCTATGATGAGGGTAAGCAAGAAGTGATTTATTGGTAGCCACACTGGCCTTTTATGCAATTCCCCATGCAATGGGCACTACCACATAGACATTGTGGGGAACTACAGTATAAAATCACAGAACAATGACAACGGTGTTTGTGGTGAAAGTCACCTCGCCACTGGTTCTTGGAGGGGCCTATTTGCCAGGCTCCTACCCTGTGACTATGGCCCCTGTGTTAAACCCTGGTTGAAAATACTGTTTGTACCCTTTTGGACTTATACTAGGAACACTTTGAACACTCAAAGCAGCACTGTGAACTTCCGAACGGTCAAAGTGTTTCGAAGCGGCAATCGAACACGTGGCAGCCGCCATCTTGAGCCACGAGTATGTTATGGGCAAATGCAAATATTACAAGTTTTAGAATGAAATGTTGTATTTCTTAAACTGTGTTCTTTGTCTTTAAGAGATATTGCAAACTGACAAGGTGTTAGAAATGGAACATATTGTTTTTCATAACTGTATCTTTAAGCAATAACCTCAGTGCATAATATGTTTGCGCCATTTTGTCCCAGACGAATTACAATAACAATAATGCATAAACAAGCTTCAAGGCTATGCTATGACTCTTGCAGTACACAATATACTGTGGTAACCCCAAGTTAATGGAACTTCCCCAAATCCGGGAATCTCCCACGACTGTACATTACGACTTAGTATAAACAACATATAACCTATTCAGACTTTAAGATGCCATCTTGAACTAAGTCAGGAAAATTTCCATGACGTATGCACCCTTTAGTTATGGCCTTGTATGTTTGCCAAATTAAGGGAGGTCCTAAATTGAATAAAGTAAAAGTGTTACTTTTTCATATTTGAACTACAGTAACCTAAAATGGAGACACCTAAGGTATAAATAGGTGTACTTTTAATTGTTAAGACAGAGGAGAGACTTGGAGACAGACGCTGCTCCATCTTAAAATGACAGAGAGGCTGACATGATGACATGTTCAGAAGGGTATGTTAACCTATTAATGATATTTGCAAGCATGTAATTTAATCTTATAAACTCTGCTATAATGGATTTTATATTTTTATATAATAAATATCCAAAAGACAATCTTGCTTCCAAGACAATCCTTATTTTATATTGTATTCTCAATTATTTATATCTGTTAAATAGAGGATCTCTTACACTATATAAAATTATGGCTAAGATATCTGTATGGTTAGCCCTACTAAGTTCTATGCTTTAAGACATTATAGTGGTAAATAAGGGAACCACACACGGTTACAATTGGCGACCATGAAGGGACATGTCATCATGTCAGCCTCTCTGTCATTTTAAGATGATGTTAGAAATGTTACATGTTTTTCACTGACAAATATATTTCTGCACCAGGGAGAGCTTAGAACCATTGGTTCTATTAGAGAAATTTAGGGAATTTTTTTTTTTCCAGTCCACTTCGCCTTGCACCACCACCTATTTCCTTCTGTTGGCCAGTTTGTCCTGGAGAGGGTGATACCAAGAACTTTTACTACAGAGAACAATCAGACCCAACAGAGAACAGTAAGTTTTGATATTTTACAACCTGCTAAATATTAACAGGACATTCACAGAACCATTGACTGACACAATGGATGCTGTTAAAGATGGCAAGATAAAACAAACAGAGGACGACAGAAAAGCCACCAGAATCATAGACAGACTGAATCATGATCTGACATCTGAACCTGCAAATGTGAAGGAGAAGGATGAACAGACAGACGTGATACATTCACAGTTAACATGGAATGTATGAAAAATGAATCATCAACATCATTATAAGAAAGACTCTGGAGAAAACAGACTGAACCTGAATTATCTTATACAGTAAGAAAGAAATGCAAAGATGGAAGCAAAAGTATGCTAGAAAATTGGTTATGGTGTCTCCTTCTTACAGTCTGCAGCATTATCATAACATCAACCCTAGCTGTCGTTTTAAAACTGCATTGGGATTATGTTAACAAGCAGGAAGCACCTGAAATGAATTGGACTGCACACTATACAAGTTCTTTGATCGTGAGGACTACCTCCAAGAACTATCTCAAAAGGAGAGACACAGCTCACAGTGAAATGATTGCTAATGTGACCTACACTGGTATTTCACAAGGAACCTATTGAGATCATTCCAAAAACCGGTTATACGTGAGAAAGATGTGATTGAACTATTTCAAATCCTAATAATGGACTCAACGATGATGGCAAAGCATGCTGAAAACAGAAAAAGACGAGATAGATGCTTGTGAAAGACTTTGGATGCACCTATGAAGGTGATTAAGAAAAGACTTTGCCGTATAGTTTATCATTGTATGACGAGCGCAAACAGCCTTCTTTATGCTGAAAAGAAGTGCTATGCTAATTCTGGACATTGCTATTATGTTTCCAGACAGAAGATGACCGGAAAAAGAAATAAAGACTGATAGCCCTCAACACCTAGCTGTTTCTCAAGATGGAACATGGTACTGAGAAAACCTGATTGACTATCAAAGCACCTCACAGTACAAGACACAGATTGTTGCCTACAACTCAGAAAAAGTGGTTTATAGGAAGGAGCAGAAGAAGAGGAATATAGATTTCCTACTGGAGTGAAAAACCATCCTGGAACAATATTCTGTAACAATGAACTTTACAATGACATTTGGTGGCATATGAATTTGAATTTGGTAGAAACACATCAATTAACGAAAGAAACCTTGATGCAATTAATAAATAATAACAATACCGGCCTACTAAGAGCAGATGCCCTGCCAAGAGAATGCAATATAAAAAGACCAACAAAATCTATCAGAAACTTGACATCATGGGACACTTGTACTAAAGCACGATTTGCAGCTTTTCTAAAACTCTACATATTATGTACATACCTGCAAAGCAAGGAACTCCTGTAAACATAAACACAGAGACATTGATACAACAAGGAATCTGTAATGGTTCTGTTGCAGATGTGATCTACCGTCGTACTCCTTGCTCTTTTGGTATAACTATACCAATCAAAATGTTAAACGGCTCCATAGAATCAAACGACAAAGCATTCTTGCTATATTCTGGACTTCCAGGAATGTGGTGCATGGACCGAAAATTATAATTACTAAAGCAATCATGCTATTTTTTCCCTGTATCAGAAATGTGTCAGTGACAATGTGTAATATAATACAGATACTATAATTAATGGTATAAGAAACACATAATGTGTTAATTACAAAGGTGGATAGACTTTGTGAATATCTGAAACGCAATTGAAGATTATTGCTAAAATGCCATATGCAGCTGCAGTCTGGCCTACAAACAAATATATTAAACATACGTATAAGAGCATAACAGCTAATTACCAAGATGAATAATTGAATCATGATAGTTAAAGATCATATGATTGCAATAACAACTGCAATAATGAATAAGGTTTAAACTTTAGAAGAAAATGTAAAATGTTTTTATTAAATCAGAAACTATTCTATATTCGTTTAAGTTTGCAGAGTGGTATAATTAATTAGTATAAGTGAAGTACTTCAGCAGTTAAAATTTTACTGAAAGACAGGCAGAAACTTTACTTCAACTATCATAAAGTTTATTATAATGATAAAAATATTCAGTCTGCCAGAGCTAAGGCCAGTAAATGGAAAGTAAAAGAGTATTAGGGATTAACCCGTCCAGGTGATATACATGATGATTTTGGAAATTGATAATTTAGGTCACCTATTGCAAACTGGTGAAAAGATGTCAAAGATATAAATTCAACATCCATACCACTCTATGTATATATATATTAAAATACACGTAATCAAATATTTTATCAGTTTTCAAATACAAAGAAAATGTTATTTGTAATGGTTAAAGGTACATAAAACCACTTATACAAAGGTAGAGTTAAAATATAAATACATTCAATATTGTATCGGAGTGCTTTCTTAACTCACTTTTAGAAATAATAAAAAATTCTAATCATCTTAAGCTACATCCAACAGCCGCTGGTAAATATACTGAAACAATTAAGATTCTCATTGTTAAGCATCCAATCTCACAAACGTAACTTTCCACAATGGTCAGATCTTGGTTATAAAAAAATGTTTTCTAAGACAATATTTGGGGGTTTCTGGTATTTTAAGCCACTAATAACTGTAGTTATTATATTTACTAATTATATCTTAGGGAATAAGTTGTCTTCTCCCTAACAGGACAAAGAAAGATAATTAATGTCATATTTCCAATTAGCAACTATTCTAAATATATTGAGACATTTTGAATAAAGTAGTATTTTTAACATTTAAAGAGAATGTAATTTTACATACCATTATGAACAAAGGCGGTAAATACTTTGCTGCTTCAAATTATCCTTATATCTCTAAATCATATACAAGAGTGTTTATCTTTAATACAAAACACTAGAAAGATTAACTATGTTACTATTTCATCTATCATTATTATACAAAGTATAACAAATGTAAAGATTTTTCCACAGATTTTACCTGTTAACATTTTTAGCACAACAGCACCTGATGTCAGTGAGATGTCTATCACTGGGATGTTACAAAGATTCCAATACAGCAAAAAGAGGCGTTCTTGAGAATCCACTTCGATTGCTGTATCAACATAAAATTTACTATAATGGGATCCATGTCACTTAAGACAATGTCTTGGAAATTGTCAATTAATTTATTCCGTAAAAGAATATCGGAGAGTATCCAATCTATACACATCATAAATGGTGTAAAAATGTTTCATGGAAAAAACAAACAAAATAAAAAGCAAAGACAAAAGACAAAGTCAAATACCAACACCATCACCACGGTAATAACAGATGATGCTGATTCAATATCTGCAACCAATTCTATCCAAATATTTGGAAAGCTGGACTCTACAACCTATACTCTCCAACAAATACCCGGGTATTCTACAAACACAACCTCCAGCAATGTATCTAAAAAATGTAAACTTCTACAGGCCTTTACAGACTTTGGATTACAAATACAATTACTACTTTTAACTTTGGATTACAATTCGTATCCGGATCCATCCAAGAATATAAGAATATCTTACTCTGGAACTTGTTGTTCTTTTCAATTCTTTCCCAGACAAAAGCTTTGCTCATTTTAATCAACCACCTTTACAGGCAAAGATCACACTACGGATATTTTACTGTTACAACAATGATCAATGATGCTGTGAGCACAAAAACCTAAAGACTGTTGGACAACTTTGGTTTACTAATTTAAGGAAGAAATGCGCTACAATGCCCACAGTTTAATGGAGAGGGTGTTATGGGCAAATGCAAATATTACAAGTTTTAGAATGAAATGTTGTATTTCTTAAACTGTGTTCTTTGTCTTTAAGAGATATTGCAAACTGACAAGGTGTTAGAAATGGAACATATTGTTTTTCATAACTGTATCTTTAAGCAATAACCTCAGTGCATAATATGTTTGCGCCATTTTGTCCCAGACGAATTACAATAACAATAATGCATAAACAAGCTTCAAGGCTATGCTATGACTCTTGCAGTACACAATATACTGTGGTAACCCCAAGTTAATGGAACTTCCCCAAATCCGGGAATCTCCCACGACTGTACACTTACGACTTAGTATAAACAACATATAACCTATTCAGACTTTAAGATGCCATCTTGAACTAAGTCAGGAAAATTTCCATGACGTATGCACCCTTTAGTTATGGCCTTGTATGTTTGCCAAATTAAGGGAGGTCCTAAATTGAATAAAGTAAAAGTGTTACTTTTTCATATTTGAACTACAGTAACCTAAAATGGAGACACCTAAGGTATAAATAGGTGTACTTTTAAATGTTAAGACACAGAGGAGAGACTTGGAGACAGACGCTGCTCCATCTTAAAATGACAGAGAGGCTGACATGATGACATGTTCAGAAGGGTATGTTAACCTATTAATGATATTTGCAAGCATGTAATTTAATCTTATAAACTCTGCTATAATGGATTTTATATAATAAATATCCAAAAGACAATCTTGCTTCCAAGACAATCCTTATTTTATATTGTATTCTCAATTATTTATATCTGTTAAATAGAGGATCTCTTACACTATATAAAATTATGGCTAAGATATCTGTATGGTTAGCCCTACTAAGTTCTATGCTTTAAGACATTATAGTGGTAAATAAGGGAACCACACACGGTTACAATTACATTGAGCGGTGTTTGGTCGTAGAGTTCATGGAACTCAAATCAGACACTTGACGGCACGTACACCGCTAACCATTTACCTTCCATGGATGTTCGGCTATTCGAACGGGAGTCAAACGGCGTTTGGTAAGAATAAACTCCCTAAACGAGAGACATACACTGACTTTACTCATGAACGGCTACATTCGGTATTTTGAACTTTATTTCGAATTCGCAAAATAGACCGACTGCACAGCCTGATTCTCTGGAACTGTTTTGGGCAAAAAAAGACTTCCAGGAAATTCCTGAACTGATATAGGAGCCACCCAGATCAGCGCTCTCAGGGGATGTAACATTTATGGGGGTTTTCTGTGTTTTTGGGGGTACTTTTGGGGTTCTATAAAAATATTATTTTTTTCTGCCTAGAGATAATTGAGTTAATACAGTATCTGACTCAATTATCTCCCAGGCAGAGGGGAGGGATTGTATGCTGTGTGTGGGAGTATCGTGCATTTAAATACTGTTCTTATTGGTCTGTGAATATTGTAACTCAGTTGCCCACAAGGTTCATGGGGATTATCATATACGGTCAAGTGTGGCACCATTAAAATGAGTCCAGCTTTACCCTCAACATAGAGCCTTGCCTCGTGTTTGTAGGGACCTGCTATACAAGCTATAACCACTAGCTCTTATAAGAGCTGTGGTGATAAAATTTAGTTTAAAAATACGAAATACACACAGATCTCTTAGGTGTTCAATATGAGAAATTATATGTATGGCATAAGAATCCTTGAACCTGGAAGGAGGGAATATCCCAGGGCAAGTTGGCCCCTTGCCAAATGTTCTACTTTTATAAAAATAAAAGGAAGTAGCAAAAATAGATAAAATTGTTATATCTGTACCAATTGACAGAAAAAAATTCCAATATATGTTATAATCTAGCAAAGCCAGTACATGGAATAAATAAAAATTGCTGAAAACAACTGAGAGTTAAAAAAACAAATTTATTCCAAGATAGTTAAAAATATAATTAAAAATAAGTCCACCTGACATAGACCAGTCAATTTAGGGTAAAAGATACAGAGTAACCTTATTACCATGAACGGATGGATTTGGATGTTATTCGTAATCCTATCTTTCAAATTCTGATCGCTGGTGAGGACGGCGTGTGTGCCACAACGCGTTCTACCTCGAGCCGAACATTAGATAATATAATGACTGCACTAATTTTCAACTTTCACTTATAATCGGAAAAATAATAATAAGAAGAACTGCACCAATGTTACATCATGATTTCACATGATCTATTTCTTAGATTAAAAATATTGTTTTATTGAAATATAGCACTTTACTTTTACTTCACATTAAATATATATTGCTTTCCTTAAATTGTCACATTATAGACCTTCAACAATGAATGAAACATAGTTAATTTAAAATTGTATCTATGTTGTAGCTTCACATAATCTGTTTTCTACAGGGTGTTAAATCATAAATGTGTATCATTTTCAAGACTCAGTCAGCCACATTGCATACCTCCAATAATGAGTGAGATGAGATAATATTACTTAAATATGGACTACTTTTTACCCCCAACATGTAAAAAATGACTCCATCAAGACATTTGAGAAAATCGTGGAAAGAGATTTTTAGGACCAAATTAACTGAAAAAGCAACAAAAGACAATCTGAATAAAAAAGAAAGACAATCCCTAAAATAACTCATGAAATTAGATGATATCACTTTCAAGCAGGCAGACAAGGGAGGTGGGGTAGTCATTCTCAACACTACAGACTAAAAAGAAGAGAATCTCAGATTATTAGGAGACACCTCCACGTATCAGCTATTAGAAAAGGATCCAACTCCTCAATATATGGAAAGACTTAAAGGATTACTAGAATAGTGAAAAGAAAGAGAATTCAAATATATGTATGCCAGATTCCCAGGGGTACCGGTATTTTACCATTTACCCAAAATCCATAAGAGACTAGAGAAACCACCCGGAAGACCGATCATTTCAGGCATTGGATCCCTCACTGCCAACTTGTCAGAATACGTTGACCACTATCTACAAAGCTAAGTTGTCTGCCTGAAATCATAACTAAGGGACACCACCCAAGTTTCTAACCTGCTCTCTGATTTTATATCGGAAGAAGACATGTTTTTAGTCACAGCTGATGTCACCTCGCTTTATACTATTATCGAGCACCTGCAAGGCTGCGAAGCCATCGAATACTCCTTGGCAGGTTATTCTGAATTCAAGAACAACCAAATAGACTTTTTAGTACATTGTATAGCTTTTATTCTAACTTACAACTATTTTTGGTTAGGAGGACGTTTTTATCTGCAAACAGAAGGGAACGCCATGGGAACACGTTTTGCGCCAAGTTACGCCAACTTATTTATGGGCAAATGGGAAGACGAATTTATATGGGATCACTGCCCATTTGGCGCAAAACTGTTCCTATGGCGGAGATATATTGACAATTGTTTTTTTATCTATAAAGGTGACCTGGAGTCCTTAGAAGAATTCAAAATCTTTTTGAACAACAACCCATACCACCTCAATTTTACCTTTTCGCAATCTAAAGAACAGATAGATGTAGCGGATGGCACCAGGCGACCCTACAAAAATACTGTATAAAGCTGCATCCGTGTATCTGCTGTATTTTCTGTGTATTAAAAAGAATTGTATTCCTCTGATTGTTCGGTAGTTTCATTCCCTTAGTTTATTCGAATGAAACTACCGAACAACCAGACCTCCCTGTGTGAAGTGTGTCCTCAATTACCCGTTGCAACATTGTTGCGAACGGGTAATTGAACAGTAAGTAGCCGTCCTTTGTTCTCGGGGGTGGCCGCCATTCGACAAACGAACACGTGGCGGCGGCCATTTTAAAACTCCCGAACAGCGGTGTTTTGCCGTCGAGTGTCTGGAACTAAAATCGGACACTCGAGTAGGCGAACACCGCTGAGACCTCCACAGCCCTGGTCCGTTCGGTTCCAAACTACCGAACGGCCCCTCGTTCGGTAAATAGAGAATACCGAACGAGGGGATTCAGGCGAACCCTCCCTAGCCTCTATAGCTAGAGGCTTTCGTGTATTTTATTCCCTTATGCCAGGACCGACCGCAAGGCCCATTCACATGGAACCGAATTCGGCTATCTCTGTTCGTGCGGTCGGTCATTTTATTCCCTCCATACTTTTCCCGAACCCCTGGTCCGATCTGGGTGATTTTTGGATATGTTGGTTCACCCAGATCAGGGCTACCAGGGGATGTATGATTTAAAGGGGTACCCCTACGTTTAGGGGTACATCCAGAAATGGGGGGAATTGGTGTGCTGGATAAGGGGATTATGATGCTGGCTGAGGGGAGGGGATGTGTGGGAGGTTACCAGGACAGGATTGGCTACTGTAATAATTACTGTAAATCCCTCCCTTGCATGGGAGCATGCTTTATAAGGAGACTGTGATTAAAGGCTTGTCAGTTATGCTCCTGAAACTGTGTGTCGTCCAGTTATTGGGATTGCTGTTGGGATATTGCTGTATTTTACCTGCTGGAAACCCTGCCTTTGGATTTACTATTTACTTGTTCCTGAGTCTCACTTGGATTATAAGCGGAGATAACCTGGGTAATATTGCATCTCCGCTACATTGGTTGGCAGCGCTGGGATCCAGACTCACAGAGGAACAAGCCTAAATGGAGTACGGATGGAGATTGATTTTGCCACACTAAAACGCTCCACGCTAAAAGACCTTCTGGAGGCAAGGGGTATCCAAGCCAGCAATAAGACAAAAGCGGCACTTATCACTGAACTGATGGCGGAGTACCGAATGGAAGGCGATTCGGTTCCCGAACAGGGGAATTCGGGAGAAACACCGGAACAAAGGGAGTTCCAGAGGCAGGTACAATTTCAGCTGTCTTTCTATGGGGAACACCCTCCAACAGAGATTGTTTCCAAAATGATAACGGAGGTCCAGGAATTTATACTGAGGAGTCAAACAGCGGCCCCAGAACGCAGCCCTGCAGTAAATATGCCACATGAAGGTAAGCCGAAAATACCGTACCAGGCTTTTAAAACATATGTGGAGGCAGAGGAAGATATAGACGCTTTCCTGCAAGATTTCGAGAGACTGTGTGCACTGCATAGAATCAGCGCAGAGGACTGGGTACCTATTTTGGCAGGGAGGTTAACTGGGAGGGCAGCTGAGGCATACCGGACTGTACCGAATGATGAAATACGGAATTACCACAAAGTGAAAGAAATTATATTGGCCAGGTATGCTATAACACCAGAAGCATACCGGCGGAGATTCAGGGATTTAAAGAAGGTGGAGAAAGACTCACATGCTGAGTGGGCATGCCGACTACAACGAGCAGTCTTGGGGTGGGTGCAAGCGAGCAAGGCACGGTCTATGGAGGATGTATTGCAAATGGTACTGCTGGAGCAATTTTATGAAGGAGTAACCAGCGAGGTACAGGAGTGGGTAAGAGACAGAAACCCTACCTCCCTTACCGAAGCAGCCAGGAAGGCAGACGAGTACCTGGATGCACGCAGGCAGCAAAAACCTGCAGCTCCAAAAGTACCTTTTAAAACCTTTGGGGGAAATAACTACACGCCAGCTCTACCAAGGTCACTGCCACCACCACCACCACCCGCTGCACAGCCACGTTTCCGCCAGCCCTTGCCACCACTGCCAGAAGTGGGGACATTATAAAAGGGAATGCCCCCAGCTGCGGGACCGTTCCACCT